CAAGAACAAGAATATTCATCTAGACCAATTTCTTTTAGTTTGAAGACTAACCTATTGTGAGGAACCGTATCAAATGCCTTGGCAAAATCCAAGTAGATCACATCCACTGCAACACCCTGATCTATACTTCTACTTACTTCTTTGTAGAATGCAATTAGGTTAGTTTGACTTGACCTATGTTTCATAAAACCATGCTGATTATTGCTAATAACAAAGTTCTACCCAATGAATTCCAGAATATTATCCCTTAATAGCCCTTCAGATATTTTCCCAGTTACAGAAGTTAAGCTCACAAGTCTATAATTTCCAGGCAAGGATTTTGAATACTTTTTAAATATAGGAACAACATCTGCCTTCCTCCAATCCTCCGGTACAATACCTGAAACAAAAGAATCTTGAAATATTAGATACAGAGGTTCACTTATTTCTCCACTTAGCTCCTTAAGTACTCGTGGGTGAATACCGTCAGGCTTGAATAGCAACACTTAGCAAGTGACTGTCTTACCTAATTAACCTAATCTCCTGATGGCCTAACGTCTCCTAGCACTGTTTTTATTTCTGATGTTGTTGACAAACATTTAACTCCTCGTGTTCACTTAGTTCCTTGTGTCACATGTCGGGCTGGCAGGTTCAGGTACACATGTCCTTGTCTATAATGTGTCTTACTCTTGTACCACACATGTGATGTATACAGTGGTGTATCCTGGTTTTGTGCTGCCCTAGGCAGGACAAAACTCAGGCGCCCCCTCCTCCCCCCCACCCCCCGCGCCAGCTATACCCAACCCTTTCCACCGCCCCGCCTTCTAAATACACACACACACATTCACTGACAGATACGCATACACACACTAACAGACACACACACTCACTAACAGACACACACACACTCACTAACAGACCCACACACAGTCACTCTAACAGACACACACACTCACTCTAACAGACACACACACACTCTAACAGACACATACACACAGTCAGACACACATACACACACACTGACACACACACACAGTCAGACACACACATACACACAGTCAGACACACACACTAACAGACACAAACTGTCAGACACACACACACACACACTAACAGACACACACACACTAACACACACAGTCAGACACACACATACACAGTCAGACACATACATACATACACACAGTCAGACACAAACTGTCAGACACACACACACTAACAGACACACACACACTAACAGACACACACAGTCAGACACACACTAACAGACACACACTAAGTCACTAGCAGACACACTCACACAGTCAGACACACACACACACAAACAAACACACATTAACAGACACACTAACTAACAAACACACACACACACTCACATTAACACATTTTTTTTTTAATTTACCCCCCTCCTTACCTTTGGGAATGCTGGGGGGGTCTTTCTCTCCCTGGTGGTCCAGTGGCTGCCTGTCGGTCTGGGCGGTGCTGGTTGCTGTGCGGGCGGCGGGTGAGGGAACTCTTCCTCTGAACTGTCCGCTCAGCTCCCTCAGACGCCGCAGAGTGAGGCTGTGAGCCGGAAGATGACGTCATCTTCCGGCTCCCAGCCTCACTCTGCGGCGCGCGAGGGAGCTGAGCGGACAGCTCAGAGGAAGAGCTCCCTCGCCCGCCGCCCGCTGCCCGCCCGCCCGCTCGGCATGTCTGTTAGCCGCAAGGCTAACAAGGCATTTGCCCTGGGCGTTTGGGGGCGGCATTTTTTGCCGCCCCCTGAAAAATGCCTCCTCAAGGCAAATGCCTTGTTTGCCTCGCGGCTAAAACGCCCCTGGATGTATACCAAGCTTAGACAACTCGCGCCTCCTATTCAGTGTGCCCACCAGCTAAATATGTCTGCCTAGCCTGTCCATTAACGTCGAAACAATGTGCTACCTGTGTCATTGCTAACCTTGTTACCACACTACAACTACACTATCAAAGTTATCATATCAATGTTAAATGTGGATTACCCTACCTTATGCTAACATTTTCGCTGTTTAACCAATCCTGTTATACCTATATAAAAAGTGCAATCTCTCATGCCACTGTCAAACTTAACTATATCTTCAAACACGCTGATAACATGTAATTAACTGCACAACAAAAATAAAGAATTAAAAAAAAAAAATAGAAAATAATGGAAATAAAAATTATTTAATTTTTTTTACGTTCATACTTTTCATACCATAACATCATGGACATGTGCAGTGCCATCACGTTGTGCCATAGAGAATCTTTGTATTCAACTATTCTCTATGGCAGAATCATAGGCGCACTGTGATGAGTGCCGCTCATGCACCTATGGTCACTAATGCTCCTCTATGAAGAGCATCGCAGTGGACCTTGATCCCTGCACTGGAGAGAAGGTAATTTATTTATTTATTATTTTTTGTTTTCTTTCGTTTTGTAATTAGTGCTAAAACTAAGTAGGGGCTTTAAAACTGTAGCATTAAACATACAGATATGTATTCCTAATGATAGTGTCCTTTCTATAACTATACTCCCCTCCTTGCCACTTTCATTTATTTATTTTTATTTTATTCCTTTTACCGAGTCTCAATATCTGGATGAAGCCATTTTGTTCTCCTCTATGATTTTTCAGGAAAAAATGAATAAAAACAGATTGAGAAACAGGAATTAAATGGAAGCACAAATGTTAAAGTTTCTATTTGATGTCAGAGTCACTTTAAAGACTCGAATACTTCACTGCAGGCACATTGCTCAGTGGATATTTTTCACTATGTTTAATTATTATATCTGATTTGCAAGGAATGTAGGTGCTCTGCATGTATAGATGTAACATATAACTTTTAACTTCCATGTGCCAGTTAATGAACTAGATATGATTTAAAAGTAATGTGGACGTTTGCCAGATATAACCTAATATTGTAAAGCGCTACGGAATCTGTTGGCGCTATATAAATCATAATAATAATAATACTGACTGCTTCATAGCAACTATATTAGTGTGTTCTTAGCTTCAGTGGATAAACACTGTGACTTGCAACATTGTATTTAAATGTATTACTTGGATATTGTGCTATTATATAATAACATTGATGTTAGTGAATACATTTTATTATATTATACATTTGCACTGTGAGTTATTTGGGAAAATATTTTTCAGTTAGGGGGATTATTACTTTGTAGATCTTTAAAGCTAGTGTGATCATTTATTCTCCTTGATGAAGTGAGTGTAGACTCACGATACCTGCAGGAGATGAAAGATGGACTGGGTGACCGATCGTCATTCTGTGCATTTAAACCACTATTTTGGCCTTGGCACGCTATGCTGGGGACACTGCACAGGATCTTGGTACACATGGTGGACACACAGCTTGCATTACATGTATCATATGCTGGATGCTAGTGTCTGATCTGTGGCCACTGATCTTCCTTTAGCTACACTTTGTTATTGTAGATATATGTGATTTATTTATTAAAATGCTTTATCCAAAAATATTAAATCGTTTGTTAAGCTAAATTAAATTGAGGCCTGTGTTTGTTTAGCAGTTAATCAGTACTTACTGTATTAAAGTACAATTTACACTGACTGCATTTAAGTCGGAAATAACATTTATCCATTTTCTTTGTAAATCACTTTGTATTTGTTTGGTGTTTATCAGGTCTCCAGTCACACAGTATCCAGGTTCTCCAGTCACACAGTATCCAGGTTTACCAGATTCCTCGTGTGGATGCTGTGAGTGGCAGTTCAGTCACATTAGAATGTCAGTACACACTCAGCAACATATCTGAGGGAGATCTTGGCTGGTTCACCTGGTACAGACATATAGTGAATGGGGATTGTGTTTCAAACACTGAAGGACATTATAAAGGCAGAGTTTCCAAATTCAGTCAGAGTGATTTCATCAACAAGAGATCTGCTAATATCACCCTGCACAATGTGAATCTCTCAGATACTGGGATGTTTATTTGTCAAGTTACGTTCCAGTTAGATGAGACAATATCAGGACATGGGAACGGAACATTTCTCAATGTGACAGGTGAGACGGTGTATTAGCAGCTGGCTGTGAATGTATTACAACATGTGATCTATTTCTAAATCAAAGTGAATTTACAACTTTAGGATAAAATAGCAATATGTAGTTAGAGGGTTTTTTCCAGTCTGACTTTTTTGGTCTCAATACTTAAAATTTACCGTTAGGGTTATATTCCGTATGGATTTTGTCCAGATAAATAGAATTTAGTGAAAATCACCAGATTTAGACAGAATTTTCAATTTTCATATTTACAATCCAGTTTACAAACGGTCATTTCAACAGCTCATTTGGAGTCTGGTTTAAAATCAAGCATTTTAAATGTTAAGTTAAAAACAAAAGAATGTCATGTTACAATTTGTGTACTGTCTGTGTGTCTGGCTTGCTACCTCAATGTCTGTTTGTCTGTCTTTATCTTTAGTTTGCTGTGATGAAAAACAATTATTTAAATTTTTTTCCTAGAGAATTCTTCACGTTGCTCTACATTACCTACTATTTATCTTAGAACTGCATGTGGAATGCTGATTTTGGTTATTTTGGTAATATTCTGCCTATGCTGTGCCAGTAAAGGTGAGCAGATTCCCTTTCCCAGCTTGTGATTAGCAAACATATCTTCAGTTACCTATGCAAAAAACACAATATTCTGATCTTTATGGGTTTAAATTTTTTTTTTTAAGTCCAGTAATTTTTTGCAGTTATTAGAATGCTTAGTTTAGTTTTTTGGACTCACGGTGCTATTAAGCTATGTATGGCAAGTGATTTAAAGGAATTATGTCATAACACACCACCATACAGTATAGTCCAGTCACTTTTATATAATGTACTAGATTTAAAAATAGTTAAGAGAATATAGAGAAACATTTGTTTTTTTCTTTCTCCATTTCTATTTGTTTAGGGTTAGAGTTATTGTGTTGGGTTTCTTTAAAAGGACACTATAGCCACCTGACCAACTTTAGCTTAATGAAGCAGTTTTGGTGTATAGAATATGCCCCGGCAGCCTCACTGCTCAATCCTCTGCCATTTAGGAATTAAGTCCCTTTGTTTATGAACCCTAGTCACACCTCCCTGCATGTGACTTGCACAGCCTTCCATAAACACTTCCTGTAAAGAGAGCCCTATTTAGGCTTTCTTTATTGCAAGTTCTGTTTAATTAAGATTTTCTTATCCCCTGCTATGTTAATAGCTTGCTAGACCCTGCAAGAGCCTCCTGTATGTGATTAAAGTTAAATTTAGAGATTAAGATACAATTATTTACGGTAAATTACATCTGTTTGAAAGTGAAACCAGTTTTTTTTCATGCAGGCTCTGTCAATCATAGCCAGTGGAGGTGTGGCTAAGGCTGCACAAACAGAAACAAAGGGATTTAACTCCTAAATGACAGTGAATTGAGCAGTGAAATTGCAGGGGAATGATCTATACACTAAAACTGCTTTATTTAGCTATAGTGTTCCTCTAATATTATGACAGCCCAAAAACATATATGTTCCACTCTGACCAGGAATATTAGAAGTAACAGTCAAAGTTGGATACTGTTATTTGCAGCAACCACCATTAAATGAACATGATAACATTAGGAGCACAAACATGTATTCCTGATACTATCTTTTATACTACATATTTTAATATCTGATCCAAACCAAAAGTTTTAAAATAGTTTTTTTTTTTTTTTACTTACTGTTCCCCCTAACTCAGTGTGGCCACCTCATCTCCACGGCTGCAAAGATCAATCCGGATGATCTCAGCCAACCCAATACCCCAGAGAAGCATTGTGAGGCTAATGCACATGCGCTGCAAATATCTTGTCATGAATGAATTGAGTCAATGCATCTATGTGGAGAATGTTTAGCATGTCCATGCAGAGTGTGAAAACTGTAAACATTGGTCCTGCAATCTTTGTAGGACTAATCTCATGTCTTTCTAGTAACTGTATGAGTGGCAACCACTAGAATTAGCTTGAGGCAACAGTGTAACCACTAACGTTTCTCAGGAAAGGCAGTGTTTACACTCCTGGGACTTTACGGACAGGCTATTTGCCACAGAACTGCAGCATTAAACTGTAGTAGGTCTTCTCCCTTTTACTCAGCTCAGAAGGCCTGAATTAAAATGGGGGCTGTTGCATACAGCAGCTACCCTCTGGGAGAGTATAGGTCAGACTCGGATATAAATGTCCTAGACCTGTCCTGATATTAGGGATCTCAAACTTCAAGGTGTCTGGCAAACTGAGAATTATGAGTAATAATTTACAGTAATATACATTTGAAGTATCCCTTGGTGTGTTTCACTATTTCTAGGGTGCGGGCTAGTGGGTAGGGACATTTTTATTTTATTGTGGTGGCTAGGGGTTTGAGGCCAGAGAAGGTGAGGGACACGGTTGCTATGTCTCATCTTTTTTCTGAAATCCATGCTTTTCATGTGGTTACTTGTTTTCTCCTGTTGGTGTTACCTTTTCTATTTCTCGATGGACTACATCAAATTTTTCTGAGAGTTTCAACAATTTTGCATAGTGACTGACCTACAATGGTACGTGTAGGTTACTTTGAGTTGGGGTCAATTTCTCGTTTCTTATGTTCACCCACATCATCCAGTATGTAGCACCACTTTAGTTAGGTGGGACCCCTGGCTTTTATTGTTTGCAGGAGTAGAATATTGTTTTGGAGCTCATTAAGTGCGATGCGCATTAGCATCACAGCCTTTTTGTTGGACCCCGTTTTAGCAGATATTTCGTATTCCGTCGACTGGTGTCATGGGAATACGTTTCAGGGGGTTTTATTTGTGCCCATCTTCTCATGCTTCAATTTCCTTTTTTTCTCATCTTTAAAAAAGAAACATATGAAGTCATTATTATTATTATTTAATGATTATTGGCATTTATATAGCTCCAAAGCTGTTTTCGAGGCTATTTCCATCACATCTGTATTCTACAACCACTATGTCACTTGGAATCGTGTTATTCTTTCTGTATTTGAATGTTATTGATTTGTTTCAGACTATTATTCCCTCACACCAAAGAAAGAGGAGAGGATTATCACTCAATGAACTCATATAGTCTACTGTCGGTTTTTTGATTGGTATTTGCCTCCTGTAATACAATTAAGATTATAAATACATTAACCCTGGCATAATCTACAATCAGCAGGATTCTCATCCCCCACTCCATGACTCCTTTCCTGCAACTGTCAAAAATTACCTACCAAGCACTCAATAAACCCGTCTCTAACAAACTATTTAATTCCTCTACTTTAACCCTTTGTGTCACTACACCCCACTCCATGTAAGCTCATCGAGCAGGGTCCTCAACCCCCTCTGTTCCTGTAAGTCCAGTGGTCTGATCTCAATTATGTGTCTGTTAGTCCACCCATTGTACAGCGCTACGGAATTTGTTGGCGCTATATAAATTTTAAAATAATAATAATAATTAATAATAGTAACAAAAGAAAATTATTAGAAGTCTTAGGTCAAATCTTATCTAGTTTGGCAGCTCTGTTGCTTCTTTTACCCTTTCCTGACATCTGGGCCCTGGAAGCTCGCCTTGGATAAGATGTGAAAATCTTAGCACTGATTGGGGAACCTTTAGGCTGGGCACTTGCCACATTTAAAAATGACCACTGCAGCATCCTCTTGGTTGGTGCAGATCCTTAGGCTGTAATGCTGCATAGAGGGGCCCACTGGCCAACTGGGGGTCCCCTCGAGTTTAAGATATGCAGGGTCCACCTGGCTGAATCGAAGAAGAAGGGCAGCACTTACCAAATTAAAGATGGCCACTGCCGCGCATGGCGGCCGTTAGTAATTTTGCATGATGGTTCGATATTCAACATAATTAGTCAGAAATTAATTTTAGTTCCCATAGCGTGTTTTCAAATTCCACAGTTTTTTGTTTTTTTTCTAAAGGTCTGATTTATTTTTTTTACAGAAAATGCAGAGAAAGAATAAGGAGTACTTGCGGAGGGGCAAACCAAGTCACCCCTGAATTCAACATTTTTAATGGTAGAGAACAAATATAGAACATATAGAATAGAGCATTGAAAGAATCTTATGTCAATACAACTTTCATTGTAAAGTTGAATCCTAAATTTTTTTATAAATAAAATAGATGTGGAGGAATTGGAAAACATCCCCCCATTTACCAGTGGAATTTGTAATTCCTATTTAGCCATGCAATATGGAAGAAATAATTAAGATTTGCTAAAAAAAATGTGATTAAAGAAGTAAAATATTACAATCAGTAATAATATATTATTCATAGTTGAGAAAAGTATTGTAAGTAGCTAGTATATTCAACATAATTAGTCAGAAATGAGGTGGAATCATTTAATGGCAGCTCCCATAGTATGTTTTCAAATCTCATTGTTTTTTTTTTTTTTCTAAAGGTCTGATTTATTTTTTTTAAACAGAAAATGCAGAGATGGAATAGTGAACCCGTTCATGACTGAGCTTTTGAAATTCCATGCATTTGTGACTGAGGCCTTTTTGGCACTTCAGCTGCATATTTATTCCACTGTAATTTAATATGTTCTCTTGGTGGGATGACTCCAAGCACCTTAACCACTATTGCTTGCTGTAGTGGTTATGGTTCCAGGAGTGTCCTGACTTTGTGATGGTGCCCGTTAGATAGGGATTAATGTGTAGGCTAACAGCTTGTTCATCCTATATGAAATCTGACTACCATTGTTCATCAAGGAGGATTTTTTTCTTCTTTGTGTACAGTTACAAATCATTTCAAAATGTGTTTTCCTTCTTTGGATTAACAGAGATGTGTAAAAGGCTGAATTTGATGAACTTTAGTCAACATATTACTACCATTAACATGTGCAGCACATTTCATTAGAGAACGCACCCAGGAATTCTTTACTTCTGTTATTTTACATTTTTATATAAGGTAAAAATATACAAAAAATCTGTGTGTGGATGAGAGGTGGCTGTGTGATTTATCTAGGTGTTGGCTGGCTGTAAATGTTTTAGCTATGTATGTGCTGTCATAATCTGTGTGTTATGTATGTGACAGGCTATGTGATGTGCATGTCTGTGTGCTGGTAGCTGTGAGTAATGTGTGTGGCAGTTAATGATGTGTGTTGCTGTATGTGATTAGCCTTGAGTGATGTGTGTGGATAACTCTTACTAATGTGTGTTGTTGCATGTGGGTAGAAGGGACGAATGTGGGTAGCTGCACGTGATGTGTGTGGCTGCCTGCTTGTAGCTGTGTAGCTTTAAATTATGTGTGGGTAGCTGTGAATGATTTGTGCTGCTATGTGTGGGTAACTGTGAGTGATATGTGTGGCTCTTTGAGGGTAGTTATGAGTAATAGGTATACACAGCCTCCTCATATGTATATGAGCAGGCTGTGTTTTTTCCACACTCCCAATTAATACAATACAGAAAGCTGTTTTGCCCACTTTCCAACTTACATTTGGGTAGGGTGGGCTATGTTCCCTATTCCCTGGGGGTTTTTGCGGGGTCAGTGTCTTGCTCGCTAGTGTAGTTGGAAGGAGCTTGTGGTCTGTACCTCCAGTGGGTGCAGATCACTGAGTCTGGTACAGCGAGGGAGCAATTAATGTAGTCTCTACTAGCACAGGATGCAAATCACGAAAGCTTCATGTGCCACATTCCCCCAGTCGCCATATGTGTCTCATTCTCCCAGAGCTCCCCAATGTGTCTCTTTCCCCCAGCCCCTCCTCAATATGTCTAATTTCCCCTGCCCCCAATATGCCTCATTCCCCCAGCCACACCATGAGTCTCATTCCCCCAGCTCCCCTCATGTGTCCCTCTGGGGAAGCGTGGCTTAGCCATGGACTGGGGTAGAGGAGCTTCACGTACCTCTCCCTTGTCTGACAGGAAGCAGTTCGGTGCTCCCTGCATGCACTTCCTGTCAGTCCAGAGTAGAGGTCTCCTGCTACACAGGAGTGGCTGGTTGGACGGGAGTGCTGTGCTGTGCACTCCCATCCTGCCAGTCAGCAGGATATTGTGCCCCTAGGGCTTCCCTCCACTAATTTCTATGGGGAGACAGAAGTTCTAAACCATACTAAACCAGTTTGACTGTAGAAGACCAGCGAGAAGTGGATTGCAGTAATCAAGGTTTGTGATGATAAAGGCATGGATGAGCCCCTTAGCTGAATCCATTTTTAGGGAGAGGATCTAGAGAACACCAAGATAGCGAACCTGTGAAGTAGAGCTGACGATAATGCTGTTGACTTGGAGGGAGACAGAAACAGTAGTAGTAGTTAATGTTGAGGGAAATATGAGAAGTTCTGTTTTAGAGAATTTGAGGTTGAGTAGGTGAGCTGCAATCC